GGATAAGTGTTGTTCTTCTTCGGATGACGCACCACCTGCCTCTTCACTGACATCGTCGTCATCATCATCTACCATCTCGTCAGTAGTCACATCAGGTTCCATTATCACCTCCATGATGTCGTCGTTGGTGGTCTCGGAGAAGCCTGGAACTGTAACAGTCTGCGCAGCTTCTCTGGCAAGGTCCACTGCTACTGCAACAGTCTGAACCTCACCAGTCACAGATTGACTCCTCCTCTCACCTGGTATTCCATGCAACACATGTCTCCATGCGTGACGAATTGTAGCAATAGACAGCTGATCCCATGACTCCACCAAGAAGTCCACAGCTTTCTTGATGTTAAATACTCTCCAGAATTGTTTGAACAGTATTTTTTGCTGTGCCAACTGTTGATCCTCATCTTCTTCGCTCTTGCTATCGGTGGTGGTGTCACTCAGGTTACGCAACTCTTCCCTGGTGTTGGTGTAGTCGTTCAGGAGCTGGAATTTTTTTGTTGAGAATGCAGCTTTTACATTGCAGATTAACTCTTGGTCCATGGGCTGTAATATAGACGTAGTGTTGGGAGGAAGGAAGACCACTTTTACGTTGGGGTGACGATCTAACAGTAGGGGCGAGTGTCCTGGTGCGTTGTCCAGCAGCAACAAAATATTGAATGGCACATTCTGTCGCTCACAGAATTTCTTTACATCGGGAACAAAACAGTCATCAAACCAGGAGAGGGACAGTGTAGAGAACATCCACGCCTTACGTGCGGTCAGCCAGTGGACATTTAGCTTGGTCATGTCCATGGTTTTGTAGGCGTGCGGCTTGCGTGCTGTGTGGATCACCGATAACTTGAGCTTACAGGTACCGGAGGCATTGGTGGTAAACAGGACGGTGATGCGTTCCTTCTGCATCTTCCGGCCCCGAATCTTGCTGGCATTCTTTACAACGAAGGACTTGGAAGGTAGCTTTTTCCAGAAAAGACCAGATTCGTCCATGTTAAACACCTGGTCGTCACTGTACTGTCCTTCCTCCATAATCTCACGTAAAAACGGAGGAAATTCCCTAGCCGCAGCACGGTCAGCACTCGCTTCTTCACCACCAATGTTTATATTGGTGATCTTGTTCCGGATCTTAAACCTCTGTAACCACCCAGAGGAAGCATTAAAGGGTTTGGGCTCTGTAATTCCCATCTTTCGTGCCACTGCAATGTACAGTTCACGTGCGTACTCCTTAACAGAGCGCGTGTCGACCGCCATGTTCCGTCGCGCCTGACGCACCAAGTACCTCACAAGTAATTTTTCTGTCTTGAGAAGCACCTGGTTGTGAAAATACTTGATCATAGAAGCACCTGTAGACTTTGTGATCTTCATGTGCTCCTTTATCTTGGCTGCATCCTTCTTTATTGTTCGAATCGTAGATTCATTCACACCATGCTGGCGCGCCAAATCAACCTGCCTTGTTCCTTTCTCCAACTCTTGGATGATCTTGTACTTCACCTCGTAGCTTAAGGAACGTCGTGTCTTCTTTGGCTTAGTGCCGCTGGGTCCAGGTAAGGAAAGGTTTCTCTCTGGGGGCGGTGGTCCGGCGGAAGCCATTTTACAGAACAATGGATACACGTTTACACGGTCTGGCGTGGAGGGATGAAACTGCCACGGCTAGGTCAAGCGTCGTCTTTCCTCCCTCCCTCCCTCCCCCGGGTGGACACGTCATAATACTTTAAGCCAATTACAGCTAGCAGCAGAGGGGGGAAGGGATGCATGGCCAATCACAGTCCGATACGTCATATGACGTCAGTGATAACGCAACAAAGACACACACTGCGCAACCTTACCGCGCGGCTTGCCCAGGAGGGAGGGAGGGAGGGAGGGAGGGAGGGAGGAGAGGCGAGAGCACAGGCAGGCAGGCAGGCGGGTGGGGCGAATCTAAAAATAGCGTCGCGCCAGACACTCTCTGCGTAATGGGGTTCACGCACCGCGTAATGTGAGCACGTTAGGTTCTGGCAGGGCACCGCGTAAACGTGGAAACGCGGAATGTGGGACCGCGTAAAGCGAGGGTTGACTGTATTAAAAAAGCTAAAATTAGCACTTTAACTTTTTGGTGACAATGACATTTATTGAGAATAATTATGACATCAGACTGTGGGGTTCGTTATATTTGGGTTCACACTCAGGATGGGATGGAGAAAGGAAACTCACAATGTGCTCGCTGTATACATATTGTATTGGATGTACAGTGCAGCTTGGTGTTGGGAAGTGGCAGCGTGGTTACAAGTGTGATGTAGAGAGAGCTGGTTGGTGAGGATGCTCAGAGGAGGACCAGTTTGTGGGTCGCCATGCTCACCGGCGGGAGCGAGGGCCGCCAGGTAGGAGGAGGAGGAGGTATTGCTTGCTGGTTGGTGTAGGTAGAAAAAGAGTGGTCACCACGAGGTCAGGTCTTATATAGTGGAGGTAGGCGTGGCTTAATAGTTGACCTCCGTCATGTAAGGCGGCGCTGGTTGACCTAGACCACGAGGCATACACTGGGGAATTCGCGGGGTCGGCTACTCAGCGACAAACAGCGTTTGTAGGGGAGGTATCCACTACAAGACTACGTGGTGAAAGAGTTTAAAAAATTCAAATCGCATTTGTGCGCATCGATGACATTGGTGGTCAGCTTTGTTTTGAATCTGGGAGCGTGTCAGTTACGGTCTGCCTCCGTGTCTAGCTGTTGTTCTTTCAAGAATTTTTTCACACTCTGAAGTGTATTTCCCCTCAAGATACTGTATCTTCAATAAGGCCAGCAAATTCAAGTGCAAGTACTATACCTAAACAAAGCACAAAGGAATTACTGGTACACTGGATGGAGAACTCAATGTTTTACAGAGGTTTGATGCAAGAGAAAAACTTAGCACCACTGCTAAAACTTATGTATTTTTATGTATTTACCCTGTAAAATAAAGCTTCGAATAACGACGGTAATATGTCCTCTAATATTGCAGTGTAAGGTGAATAATAATGAGATGTGTTCCCCAGTGTGACCTTTTCATATCTTTTGTGTGGCTTTTTACCCTCTTTTCCCCCAAAACACTAAAACTAATGAAAAATGTAAACTAAATTCTTTATGAATGCACCTTATACAATACAAATGAATAATAATATGGTCACACAAGAGGAGATGGGACGCCATTGTTTTCGTTAGTGTTTACAGCCGGAAGTCCGGGACGATGGTTGTACATAAGAAAATGAGGAAAATAAGACCCTGGTTGTAGCTGTAGTGGGAATGCCAACGTATGTAAGTGGACACACGTGAAAACATATCGTCATTTCTCTAGTACATATGAATATGAAAGCAACACTTATTTACTGTTCATATATGCTTTAAATAATACTTACGGATGTAAAACTAAAATTCTACCCACCAATGGTGGTAAAGTCTAATACATAAGGACAGTCAATGATGATGTGCGAAGTCATCAGGTTTTACTCTGGCTGAAGCTGAAGGTTCAACTCTGGCTGAAGCTGTAGCTTTCCATAAAGCTGTTGCTGAAACTGTTCCTGAACCTGAAGTTGATGTTGAAGCTGCTTATGATGCTGAATTTGATGATGTAGCTGAAGTTGATGGTTTAGGCCTTCGAATAATAAAGCTGTTGAAAGAACCCTGCACAGCTGCTTTCTTTTCTCATTATACATCTTTATGTAGAGGTCATTTGCATTTATTTAAATTTTAATGTTTTGTTCTGTTAATGGATCCACTTCAGAAAATATGATCATTGCTTGCTCCATATAATATCCACACACCTCTTACCTTTTTCATACAGTTTTAACAAATCTAGTTTCTTGGCTAAGCTTATACGCTTTCTATTAGCTTTTGAACCAACACTACCATCACTTGCTCATGTTGAATAGGGATGCAAAAATACTGTAGGAAACCTGAGAAAGTTTTTCTCCTGTTCCTGTTCCAGATGCGTGAAAACTTAGGGCCAACCAAGCTCCGACTGTTGTTTACCACTCATTAACCAGGCAGCTTCTTTGCGCAAGGCGCTCTTCATTTTTTTTACAGTCATTTTTTTTATATAATACATATCGGGATTTAGTTATTATTTATATGAAAATTTTATTTTATTTTATTTTGGTCGTAAATATGAATGAAATAAGGACGTAAATTGAATTGGGTCCTATATTAACTAGGGTTTTAAATATGAACAGTTGTTGGTCGAATCATTGTTATCGGAGGCTTTACTGTATATGGGATAAAATGGTTCATGTTACGGAAATTTGCAATATGGCCACTTTTTTCAAGAACACATCCATTCCGCAATGCAGGGGTTCAAAAATAATAATAAAACAAATTTCGTACAGATGAAGAGTAAAAAGTAATTTACAGTAGTGATCATGGAAATCCCACTTTATAACCAAGTCTGGACTAGGCCACTTGGGTATAGTCAGTCAGTTACCATCAAGTTTAGGGGTTGGACACCCAGGCAAGCATTCAATATTAACCCTTCACTATGAGGATGCCACTTTTAATATATTATTTGGCTAATACCAGACAATCTTATTCAGCACAGAGGGAGACGCTGTTAATAGCCAAGACTAATACTGTATACTACACTGATTAGTTGGTTGACTGATATAAGGAGCTTGGAAGCAACAATAAAGATTAGATCACAACACAATGAACAAGTACAGTATAGTGCTGCAATGATAAGAGTAATGCAAATGCCCAGAGATGGTCATGGAGGCATGAAAATGAATAGAATATCACAGATAATTTATCCACTTGTGTACTGCAATAATAAATATAGGGTAATGTCATACATGTTTAGTGAGGTTTTTGCACATGATCCAACCAATACATACAGAAAAATAAATATGGGGAATAACAACAATTCCAAGATGTGAATGATCAAGTGTTTTTTTTTTGTTTTTTTATTGGCCAATGATATAACTGCAACATTTAGATACCATCAACAACTTTTGCCTTAAAAAGACAAGAATCACTTAAGGAATTTAACAACTCATGAAAATACTGTACTAACCATTGTCTCATCAATAGGGTAAGGAGTCTTGTCTGGGAAGATACATGTAGACAGACAAGACACCACTTTCTTCACCTTCAGTTCCTTGCATGTCTCAAGGACGTTGTCATTCATTAGTTGATTGAAGCGCTGAAATTTTTTTTTTTTTTTTTAGATACCTGATGTTAAGTTCATGAAACTCACATATTACTGTACCAGCCAAGGCCTATGGAGTGAAAACTCAGATCCACTAAGCTTGGTGGCTGGAACTACAGTACTATAAATTTCGTTCAAAACCCTTCTTTAATCCTTCAGCTGAGAGAAACCCCTGCCTGACCCCTGAAAGGGTTAATAACCATACCCCTTAAATTTTTAAGGAATATGGTTATTAACCGTTTGAGGCATCTGCTGCCGCTTACAGCTGAAGGGTAGCATTGGTGTGCACTCTGTCACCCTCATATGGTTTGTTGACACACAATTTCATCTAGGCAACCCTAAAGTCCAGCTACCTGTGCAATACTGTTGAAACATTTGCCCCCTGCTAGCTTCTGCCTCTTCTGAGTAAGACCTCTCATCCTTTCACACACTTTAAACAGGATTTGGCAGTAACCATGCAGACTTATGCTGTGGCTGTTAAGCCATCACCTAGTTTGAGGTTAGTCAGCATATTGGTTTGACTTCACAACCCAATACTATTTTAAGGAACACCCTTCAACTAAGCAGTCTGTAGCTCAGCTTATTGCCTGATAGCCACATCTATTCCAGTTGCAGGTGTCTAGCCTGTGACTCATAAGGGAATTCTCTCTGTGGACTGAAGTGTTATTTCAGTTAACTTCCATTTGGGATAGTACAGGTACAGTGGAGTTAGGATAATTCATGAGTAGGATACCAGAAGATATCGTGAATAATTATATCATTAATTATGGTTTAATAGATTTAAATGGAAATAATTAGTTTGGTTCCAGAAGCCACCCAAAATATAAATGAACTAATCCAAAACTGCTTTAATAAACACTATACCCCTGTACTGTACATCGTATGTAATACATAAAAAATACAGTAACATAGATATTGTACAAAAAGCACAGTAGTTCTATGTTACATAAACGGCTCCTTCCCTTCTCATAATTTCATGTGCCAATACACCATCGAGATAGACAAGCACTGGGCTGGCTGAGACTGCAATACCACACAATAACTACTCATTTAGGGTGAGTGTGGGAGTTGTGTGAAAATGTATTATTTTACTCTTATGCAAAGTGAGTGTGAGTGTGTGTGTGTGTGTACAATGGGGTATGCTATAACGAACGGATCCTACTACGAATATTCCTATAACGAACGGTTTTACCTATAAAATTGAGAATGCTATAACGAACGCAACTCCTACAATGAACGTGGATGAATACGGGACTATTTCGCCTGGCCCATGAATATTGTTGTACCGCGACCCACAACAAGAGCGTCAGGCGCCATCTTTGTCTCATTGTGTAGCCAGTGCACCACTGTTATTGTTGAAATTTCGTCTTTTGATGTGGAAATTCGCGTTATTTGTATAACTATTTTGTTATACAAGTATACAATTGAAACAATGAGTCGTCCAAAGCGAGTGAGAAAGCTAATAACCCTTGAAACTAAGAAAGAAATTATAAAGAAACGTGAGAATGGAAGAAGCATTGCGAAACTTAGTGATGAATATGGGATGGCTAAATCGACTATATGTACGATTTTGAAGAATAAAGAGGAGTTAAAAACTGTGCAAGTGGCTAAGGGAATCTTTAGACTTAGCAAAGCAAGGTGTAATGTGATTGAAGAGATGGAAAATTTACTCTTAGTGTGGATAAAGGAGAAAGAAATGGCAGGTGGTAACATTAGTGAAGCTATAATTTGTGAGAAGGCTAAACAATTGTTTGAGGACCTTAAAGCCAAGACTCCCAGTGGAAGTGATAGTGATGTGCCAGTGTTTAGGGGTACCTGCATGCTGAATAACACTAAGGTAAGATAAAGTACCGTATTTTTTACATTTTCCACAGAATTTTTTCAGTGTTAAGTGGTTGTATTTGGGGGCCTGGAACGGATTAATCCTATAACGAACGAATGCTATAACGAACGAGGTTCTGGAACCAATTACGCTCGTTATAGCATACCCCACTGTATATATATATATTTCAAGTAAATGGAAAAATTTTACTCGACACAGACATTAGTTCCAGTTACCGGTAAATAGCAGACGCTTCAGTGACGACACTAGTGTTTACACTACACCAGCAGGTAACATTTGATGACATTACTTGAAGTGAATTGGCCTTATTTTAAAAAACCAAGGATGGTTGGTAAAGGACTACTGAGTCAGTGGGTAAGTGTCACATTTCGGGTACTGGTCTTATACAGCGAATAGAGCTCAAAAGCTACTTTTTAAATGGAAATTTGGGGGGGCCGTCTTATGTACCCCGACGCCTTATAGGCCGAGATATACGGTAGGCTAAACATGAGGTGAAATGTAAGTAAACAAAATGTTTCAGTCTGTGGGGGTCGGTTACCGCCCAGTTCCTGGTAAGGTGTCCAACTCAGGAACCAAAGCCCGTAATAAATTGGGGACCTGTCCAAGGAGATGTTCCATATGTATGTCTTGTAGATTTATTTTTTATTTTTTTTTATAATACTAGTTTCATAAGTAGAGGCTCGATTAAGTGTTTGTAAATTTCCATGTAAACTATTCAGTACTCAGCATTTATAATCTATTCTACTATTCTAATTAAGTTGGATGAAGGAGGCAGTAAAGTAATTCGAGATGACTTGTGATGTAAATGAATTTGTCCAGTCACCCACAGTGGAGGCATTGAATGACTTACGTAAATGTGATTTGTTTAAAGTTGCTGAACACTTTGAGCTGAAGGTTAAGAAAGGTATGAGGAAGCATGAAATTAAGAATGAATTGATCAGGTATATGGTAGATGAAGAGCTATTTGATGAGAGTGCTTTAGGCCAAGCTGAAGGTGGCGAGAGAGAGAGAGTGGGTTGAACATGAACATCAAATTAAACTCGGGGAACTTGAACTCCAAAGAGAAAGAGAGGAATGGGAGAGAAAGATACGAATGAGAGAATTAGAACTTAAGAGAGAGCTTAGTCTGAAGGAGTTAGAGTTAAGAGGCCCACTTCCTGCAGTCACCACTGTTCCCTTCAGTGTTGCTCATATTATGATGTTAGTTCCTCCATTCCAAGAAAAGGCTGGAGATAAATATTTTAGATATTTTGAGAAGGTAGCCATGAGTTTGGGATGGCCAAAGGAACAGTGGACAGTACTCCTCCAGTCTGTGTTCGTAGGAGAAGCTCAGGAAATCTATTTGTTTATGTCAGTGGATGACTGTAGTGATTATGAGAAGGTGAAGCGTGCTGTGCTGAAAGCATAGGAGTTGGTGCCTCAAGCTTATAGGCTTAAATTTCGTAATTCACATAAGCATGACAGCCAGAGTTACTTAGAATTTGCAAGGGAGAAGGCTGATATGTTTTCTCGCTGGTGTGAAAGCGAGAAGATATGTAATGATTATGAGAAACTGTGTCGACTGTTACTGGTAGAAGAGTTTAAAAGATGTATACCTGATAGAGTTAAAGTGTATCTTCAGAAAAACAGAGTGGATACACTAGAGGAAGCAGCCTGTATGGCAGCGAATTATTCTCTCATACACAAACTGACCTAGTAACTTTGTAAAGCGTAACGCCTCGCCACAATCGTCTCCGCCGACAGGCAAGCAAAGTTATTTTAAGGAAGACACTACCAGCTCTCGCCCAAGTTTTAATTTTGATTAAAAAAGCCCATAAGATATTTTAACTGCAAATTGTTGGGCCATGCAATAAGTAATTGTTGGTTTCTTAAAGACAAAGAGTCCAAGGATGCTCCAACAGCTCTTGCCAGTATAAAGAATTCATACAAAGTAAAGTTCCCCAGAAAAGATTCACAATGTGTACAGAATGTTAAGGTAGAATTTAAGCCTTTTAGTTCAGAGGGTAGAGTCTCCCTGGTGGGTAATGAAGACAGTAAGAAACTTGTGGTTATTTTGAGAGATATGGAGGCCATGCAATCTTTGATGCTAGAAGGTATATTGCCATTATCAGATAAGTCCTCCCTAGAGGCTAATGTGGCATTAACTGGGATAGAATGTGGGCATATTAATGTTCCTCTTCATTGTGTTCATTTGCAATGTAATTATATGGACCGGAATGTAACCGTGGGAGTGGTGCCAAAATTACCCATTGATTGTGTTTCATTTATTCTTGCAAAAGATTTGGCAGGAGGTAAGGTATTCTACAACCATAATCCTATTGTTTTGAGCATTCCAGACCTAAGTGACAGCAGTGAGCAGATCGAGGCAGCTCAACTACGTGTGTTTCCTGCCTGTGCTGTTACCAGAGCAATGAGGAAGAAGGCAGTGTGTGTTTTAGTCATGAGGACCCGAAGCCTGATACGGACATGGCAGCCCCAGTGAGTCAGGAGCAATCTAAAAATCCTCAGGTATGTGATGGTGTACTAGAAAAAATTACAAGTGAGGATATGATCGCATTATTTAATCACGAAACTGATACCAGCGTAGTTGAGGATGAGCCAAGTACCTCCCGTGTGGAGAGGAAGAAACTGTTAGATCAGCAAAAAAAAGGACCCAGAATTAAGTAAGATGACTAAGTTAGCTCTAACAGAACATGAAGTATCAGATGTCCCCACAGGGTATTATTAGAAGTGGCGTATTAATGCGTAAATGGAGACCACCAGAGGTCTCTGTTGAGAATGATTGGCACACTGTGCATCAGACTGTTTTTCCGAGATCATATAGAAAACAGATACTAAGTCTGGCTCCTGACTTGCCTATGGCAGGACACCACCAAGGAATTAACAGAACTTATTATAAAATAATAAATAATATTTTTTGGCCAGGATTTAAGAAAAATGTGGTGGCTTACTGTAAGTCTTGCCATCAGTGTCAGGTAGTGGGCAAACCGAATCAGAAAATTCCTGTTGCTCGACTGTATCCAATTCCTGCCATTTCCGAGCCATTCTCCAAAGTTATTGTGAACTGTGTGGGCCCACTGCCAAAAACAAAGGCAGGAAACATGTATCTTCTAACCATCATGTGTCCCTCAACTAGATATCCTGAGGCTAT